GAATATATCCATGACACGCCCGTGTAAAGGAGTGAGAAACGCCCAAAGTCTATCAATATAAAAATTCAATATCCGGATCAAAACCGCGATAAAGTATAGAAAGTAAAGTACTAGTTAGTAGGATTCGAGAGACACGAACAGGAAATTACTAATACCAATAACAGGAAATTACTAAATCAAAGTCAAAAGATCGGTAACTCTACTATCGATAATCCTACTCTCGATAACTCTATTGTCGATAATTCTACTATCGGTAACTCTAATGTCTATTACTCTGCCATCGATAATTCTACTGACGATAACTCTAATGTCGATAATTCGATCGGTAACTCTACTGTCGATAATTCTACAGTCGATAACTTTAGTGTCGATAATTCTACTATCGGTATCAATACTATCGATAATTATACTATCGGTAACTCTACTGCCGATTACTCTACTGTCAATAATTCTACAGTCGATAACGTTACTGTCGATAATTCTACTATCAGTAACTCTACTGTCGATAATTCTACTATCGGTAACTCTACTGTCGATAATTCTACAATCGATAACTTTAATGTCGATAATTCTATTATCGGTAACTCTACTGTTGATAATTCTACTATCGGTAAGTCTACTGTCGATAATTCTACTGTCGATAACTCTACTGTACTATCAGTAACTCTACTGGCGATAATTCTACTATCGGTAACTCTACTCTCGATTACTCTACTGTCGATAATTCTTCTGTCGATAACTCTACTGTCGATAATTCCACTGTCGGTAACTCTACTGTTGATAATTCTATTATCGGTAACTCTACTGTCGATAATTCTACTGTCGATAATTCTACTGTCGGTAATTCTACTATTGGAAACTCCATCTTAAGAAATATTAACATTAACAATGATTTGTAACTCCAGTTAAAACATTTAAATAATAATATATTGTGTGTAATTGTTACTATCAATATAGAAAGATGGGAAGACTTTCTTATTCAGTATGTTACAATATATATATATTGTAACATATATATATATGTATATATATATATTAAGAAAGTATACTTTCTTCAGGTAGATTTGCCGCGCTTCTCATGTCACGCCCTTCCATTTTCTTTTGTTATCTACAAATTCTTTTGTTATCTACAAATCGAGCCGTTAAGATTTGGAAGAGAAACGGGCAGTAGGAAATAAAACGTAGACGAGAGAAGTAGCACGAGAGTGTAGTATAAAATTTAAACAGTATGAATAATAAACGTAAATTGTCGTTTCTTTGTTCACAGAGAAACATATTTTCGTTTATCACCTCACATAATCAATCCGAGTTATTATATATATGTATAATTAAACAATTTAGTGGGGAATAATAATAAAATATATATATTAGTTTGGGGAAAAAGAAATCCATTATGTTTTTAGTAGATGGCTGTAGTGATCGATATCTCATAAAGTATCGATTAAACAATTTCAGATTTATGCTCGTTGTGAAGGTGACATTTCACATTAAAAAATTTCTTTTGTTGTTTTTTGTTGATCTATTCAGTTGTTAGTTACAGTGTGTTAAAAATGGAAGTCAACAAAGAGAAAATTCGGTACATTTTACAGTTTTTCTTTGATGAAGGCGAAAATGCAACCCAGGCGGCTGAAATTGTGAATGGTGTTTATGGTCCCGATACTGTAATAGCTAATTACGTGCAATTGTGATTTCGTCGATTCCGTTCAGGTATTTTTGATGTTAAAGAACCACCTCGCACAGGTAGGCCCGTCGTCGAAATTGTCGATAAAATCACAGAAATGATCGAAGTTGACCGGCATGTTAGTAGTCGTAGCATCGCCCAAGAGCTAAAGATCGACCATAAAACAGTTTTAAACCATTTGCACAAAGCTGGATTCAAAAAGAAGCTCAATGTTTAGGTGCCACACCAATTAACACCAAAAAACATGATAGATCGAAGTTCCATCTGCGAATCCTTTGCGAAACGTAATGAATTAGACTCATTTCTTAAACGGATGGTGACTGGGGATGAGGAATGGGTCACATACGACAATACTGTGCGAAAACGATCGTGGTCAAGGCGCGGTGAAGCAGCTCAAACGGTGCCCAAACCAGGACTAACGGCCAGGAAGGTTCTACTGTGCATTTGGTGGGACTGGAAAGGAATCATTTATTATGAGTTGCTTCCATATGGCGAAACACTAAATTCGGATCTCTACTGTCAACAACTGAACCGTTTGAAGCTAGCGATTGACCAGAAACGGCTAGAATTGGCCAACAGAAGAGGTGTTATGTTCCATAAGGACAACGCCAGGCCACATACGTCTGTAATGACTCGCCAGAAACTCCGGGAGGATCTTAGTTAGAAAGATTGAATGCATCCACTATATAGTCCGGACCTGGCACCAAGCGATTATCATCTTTTTCTCGCATTGCAAAAATTCCTGAGTGATAAGAAATCGGCATCAAAAGACGATTGTGAAAATCGATTACTAGAATTGTTCGCCAATAAGGACCAAGACTTCTATGAGAAAGGCATTAGGAAGCTACCTTTAAAATGGGAACAAATTATAGAACAAAACTGTGCATATTTGACACAAATCGGACAATTCGAAACATGTTAAATAAAGCCTTGAAATTCATGCAAAAATAATGGATTTCTTTTTCCCCAACCTTATAAACAGTTAGCAGTTAGACATTCTATATTAGCAATTTATATATATAATGGAACCTATGTTGTAAAACCTATCAAATCCTATGCTAAATAATGATTAAGAGTTCATGTAATAAATAATAACCGCTCTCAAGTAAAATTATTAACATTCATCAGTTAAAAATCTTTTATGTATTCACAACACGATACAACTCATTATAACAATTTATTAACAAAGGATATACCTCTGTAACTTTGATACGCGAAAATAATAAATTCAAACGATAAGTCCAAGATTTTCTTTCATAACCTTACTAAATTAATTGAAGGAGATAATTATTTCACTACAATGTTTAATACACAATTGACGAAAGGTACTCGTGTTAGAACCGCTTAACCAGAAATGAAATATACAATGTAAAATAACAACGTAGTAGAACATTCCTCGCTCTCCCAGCGCTGGTGGCTGGCGATTTTAATGCCTGGTCCAGCAGATGGGACCCGGAAGGCAGGAGTAACCGTAGGAGTGAGTTGCTCTGCGTCTGGGCCAATAGAATGGACCTGGGTCTGCTGAACCGGGTTGGCTGTCCCACGTGCGTTCGACCACAGGGGTCGAGCGTTATAGATCTAACGTGGGGCACGTCGACGGCTGGCGTCCGCCTCTCGGACTGGAGAGTGGATGAGGCTGAGTCCCTGTCAGATCACCTGTATATTAGGTATAGCTACAGGCACGAAGCTGCAGGGGTCCGAAATTTTCGCCTGCAAGATAAAAAGCTTCCTCGCTGGAAGGTTAACTCCCTGGATGAGGACTACTTGGCTGCGGCCCTCATTTCAAGGGAGTGGACGGTTGGAACTAAATGCGTAAGGAGTGCGGCCGGTGTGGACTGTGTGGACAAGATGGTGAAGTGGACACAGTCTACACTGAAGCAAGCGTGCGACATGGCCATGTCCCGGGTGAGAGGACAAACCTGCGGTAGGAAAAATACTTACTGGTGGTCGGACGAATTAACGAACCTTTGGACCGTTGCGACGGCCACAGTAAGGAAACTTTCCAGGGTCAGGAAAAAGAAGAACAGTGTGGAAATAGTACGGTGCCTGGACGCTCGAAGGGTCGCAAGGAGGGCACTGACTAGGGCTATTAAGGTAGCCAAGAAGAACTCATGGAGGGACCTGCTGGACTCTATAGAGGAGGATCCATGGAGCAGACTCTGCAGACTGGTCCTGGGGAAACCAAGGCCTTATGCCCCACCAGTAACCGAAACCATGGAGGATGAGGTGTTGGAGAATATCCTCTCTGAGCTATTCCCAGGAGGACCGGGAACTGATGAGCCGCAGGAACCTACGCTTTCGGAAGTGACTATCTCTGCGGCGGAGGTCTTGGCTGCCGCCCGAAAAGGGAAAGGAAGAAAGGCTCTTGGACTGAATGGAATATCGAGGGTGGTTGTGCGTGCTGCGTCGACATACTGTGGAACAGGGTTGGTGCAGTGCTTCTCCGCATGCTTAAGGACAGAAAGTTTCCCGACAGCGTGGAAGATAGCGAGGCTCGTCCTGATCAAAAAGAAAAGGGACGTGAGTTTGGATATCTCGAACGCCTTCAACTCCTTGTCGTGGGCCGTTATCGTTAGGGCGATGGAGCGTGAAAATTTTCCACGCTACCTGGTGAACATTATCAGGAACTACTTGGACAAACGCGCCATAGCATATACGGACAAGTATGGACGCACTGTGGAAAGACACGTGTATTGTGGGGTCCGTTTTGGACCTTACGTTATGGAGCATTGCCTATGACAGTGTTCTCCGAACCCTGATGCCAGGTGGCTCCCGTGTCGTCTGCTATGCGGACGGCCCTCCTGTCATCGGGATGGGACCTGTCTCAGGCTATCATGAACGCCGAGCGGGACTTGGACGTCCTGGTAAGGGAGATCGAGGGATTGGGTCTTAAAGTGGCGCCGCAAAAGACGGAGGCCATGGCCTTGCCTGCCTCTGCCTTCTGCAGATGCAGGAATGAAACCCCCTAAGATTTGCCTTAGAGGGGTTTGTGTAGAGATCAGAACCAGTGTTAAATACCTGGGCATAATGATAGACTCAAGGATGTCGTTCAGGCCCCACTTTGAGGCCGTAATCCCTCAAAGCCGAGGGTATCCTCCGGTACCTTAGAAGGCTTCTTCCGAATCTTCACGGAGCGGGGGAGAGGAAGCAACGCCTCTACGGTGGTGTGATCCACTCGGTGTTCCTATATGACGCGCCGGTGTGGTGGCGTGCCGTCGTGGAGGACATAAGGATCGGACGGGCTCTTCGGAGCCTCCAAAGGAAGGTGGCGATCCGGGTGTGTTGTGCCTATAGGACGGTCTCCTTCCATGCGGCTATGATGATTGCGGGGATTATTCCTCTCGCTCATTTAGCAATCCAGCTGGCGGAGACGTATGCGGCTGTTAGAGGCGCGGAGGAACCTGTTCCCCCGCGTGCTAATGTTGTATTGGGTGCTCTTGCCAGAAGGAGGGCAATAGAAGCATGGAAGGCTGAGGAACTAGAGCTCGTAGGGGCACCAGAGGCAACGGGAGTGCGCACGAGGGTGGCCATTGCCGAATGGTTGGTTGAATGGATTGGAAGGCCGTTCTCTATCGGAACGACATTTCACATTACACAGCTGATGACCGGCCATGGTTGTTTCTCGGCATATTTAAATAAAATAAAGAAGATCCCCTCCCCACGTTGTTTCGACTGCAAGGGAAATGAGGATACGGCGGAACACACCCTGATCGACTGCCTGGCGTGGACGGATGCCAGGAATGAGTTGATCGACGCGATGGGGGGAGGGCAGCTAACCCTTCCCGTGATAGTCAGGGTCTACCTGACTGTCCCAGGTGGATGGACGGCCTTTCAGACCTTCGCTGGACGGTTCATGCGTGCAAAGGAAGACGCTGAGAGGCGCAGGGAACGGACGCGAGAAGAAGAAGGATGTGTGAGTGAGCGTGCGGGTATGTACGTGGATGGGAATGCGAGCGATAGGCCGCATAGGAGAGTAGCTCCAGTGCGGCCACCTCGGGAAAGGCTCCGAGCGGCTCAGGCGGCGCCTGGCTCAAGCGTCGCTTCTCTTTAAATGTGAATGCGTGTATACGAACGTGAATGGGCCTGGTCAGAGCACCATAGGATGGGAATCGGGCCAATATGTATATAGTTAGGGAGTAATTGCGTCTCCAGGGGCTCGTGGGCCCCTGTCGAGTGCGCCGTATTGGTGTGAATGTAGATGAATGATTGAATGAGAGCAAGGCGAATACCGGCCTGGCTAACCGAGGAGGGGTGCTGGGTGAATTTGTAATATGCGTGATCCTGCCCACTCCCCTTTCTCCTCAGCGTGTTATAAGGATCGGGAGGTTTTTTAGTCGGTAGGCGATCCGAACCTGGGAGCATTCACAGACGGGCTGAATCCGACACTCCCCTGAGTACCGGGCTCAGGGGGCCTATGAAGGTTTTTCCTCCTGACGAAACAAAAAAAAAAAGAGGTGTTAGCTCCAACCATAGACTGCATGGAGTACGTATCCTCGAATCACGGCGTCGACACACAACTCGTTTGATTAGAACAAATAGTCCAATACTTACCGCACTAGCTGATCCGAAAGCTAGGAAACCTTGCCACAATTTCGAGATCGCACCGTCTGTGATTTTGTCAATGTCCGCTTCTCCCAATAAGTTATACATGGAAATAGTTTGGGGTGGAACACGATGTCCCGTAGCTTCTTTGGCAATGGTGTTTAAGAGTTCCGGTTTTTCGGAAGGGAACATAATATGATCGTGTAAATTTTCTAAGTCCTGTTGAGAATACATACCACTTCTCATTAAATTTTTTGTGTTTATGTATTTCCATGATGGTTTCGTCAATGGTTGAAGTATTTGGGATATCCACGGATTTTGATGTTAGTCTGTACCAGTTTCCCTCTAAATGATATATTGGTGGAAGCGACGCATTGCACTCCCTAATGGTTCCAGGTTTTACTAGTATTCTCGACTTGGGTGTCAGATAGAGGCTGTCGTTTTGGTGATAAACTGGTGATAGCATTCTTCTGATGATCTCACGCTGACGGGAACAGATATGCATTTTACAATGTGTATCACTTCTCCCACCGTTACGGCTATATATCCTGCTGCCTTCATGATAGTGTAAGCGAACTCATCTGATCGAAGAGTCGCCAGTGCTAATGCATTTTTAAGTACCTGTTTCTCCAATTCACACTTTTGTTTGATGACGTCACTGTACAAGGCAGTCATCTGGCTTCTCATGTATTTTTCTAGGTATACGAACTTCGAGTTCACATAGACGAACAGATCGAGATTTTCAACTGATAGTCTTATCCTTGACACGAAGGTCATTCCTTTTTGCGTCTCCAAGATGAATAACTTCGGGTGTTTGCTCCGTAACAGAGTGTACCCGCACAAGTGGTGTTCCGCCCTCTTTTCCAAGGTAAACGTGACGTTCTGTGTCGTTATAGTGTAGATGTCAGGATTTCCATATGGGTTGTCGCTTCTAATTTTGTGGCTAGTCCCTCGTATAGCACGTTGTAATGTTCGAAATTACACGATGAGTCAGGTCTAGTTGTTCAAAATGCGTTCCCTTCCTCGTCAGTAACACATGTATAGTCCGTAAAAACACACAATGTACCTTTGCTTAACACTACACTGTCCTATTTAATTTTAACTATTGAGTAATATTTTTTAATATTTATTTCCACTACTATCTGCACCACTACATTGTCGTAGAGGTCGGCGTACTGCGTCCCTGAGCACTTGCCGTCTGTTGAGATTGATCCTGCAAGCGTAGCACTTCGATACTCCGTGACATTGGACCGTAAACCTGATACTTGCAAGGTCGGCGTTATTCTCATGATGCCTGTATTGAAGGCGGCTTTGCATGCCTTAGCTGTTAGGTCCATAAAATACACTTTCCGTCCGTTTTGCACAGCTAAGACATGCGATGACATTCCATAATAATAAATCCTTCTATCGAATTCTATTCGGCACTGATGCACATGTGTTTGGTTGTATTCCACTAGTTGCAGAAACTGAATGTAAACTTCTGTGGCATTTTGTTCGTGCGATGGGGTAGTGTATTCTCCCGTGTCCAGCAGTGAAATTGTCGTGATGTTCATTGAGACTCCCCTACAGTCATACTCCAAAAAGCAGACATATCCACTAATGGTGCCTATGTGCGTTATTAATATGCCGAGAAGCCTCATGATTTCTGTAACACAATTATCTTAATCTATTTCATTTTAGATAATCTTAGTTTATTCATATCCACTACCTTAGTATGGTTTCCTATTTGGAACTTAACATTGTTTTGGGGAACGATTTCTAAAATCTGGTGAGTTCCCGTGTATTGATATTACAATTTCGTCAGTTTTCAATTGCTAATTTTTTCGGGAATATATATCCCATAAGTAACATTCATGATTTAAAGTCAATTAATTAGTAAATTTCGAATTTGAATCTGTCCCCAAAAATAAGTTTGCGAGTCTGTCCAACTCCATCTAATTAATCTGTCGAGTTAGAAAGTTTCGAGAGGCCGAATTTAAGACAAATCTACAGTCAGTCAGTCTGTTTAGTCTACGATATCAAATACTAAGTCGAGATCAAAATACTGAAACATTGAAGTTAAAGTTGTGTGTTTAAAATTGTATGTGCATGTACTTACGCGTATAGACGGTACAGTCGCGTTCGCTAATTCTTAAGACGAATTCGATTCGAAGAAGTACCTAGAAGAATCCTTTTTCAAAGTTATCATTCTTAATGGATAAAATAATAAATAAGCCTCATCCCGAGTAAAGGGTTCCGCTCCTGACCGAAAACGAGGCAAGTTGCTAGGTCGGCGTAGATGATTCGTCTTTGATCTGTCTGTATCAGTAACTATCAAAATTTGTATTATTTTTTTCATGCTTACTTCTTTCAGAACATGACATCAGTATACCTGTTTTCGACATTTCTTGTAACAGATATTCGCACTTCAATTTTTTCAGCTCATCGATTCAAATTTGCTTGATGACTCTTGTACTGGATACAATGATTGGGGCAATACTAATATAATTTTGTCTCTCACGCTGCTTTATATCGCGCGTCAGGTCTACATATTTCGCAATTATTTCTACATATGTTCTGTGCATGTGTACAATAAGAGATATGTCCACATTTAAAATCCAGCAATTCCTCGAAATCTTGTTAATCCATATTATATCTGACCGATTTTCAAGGATCGTATGATCAATGCTCATCATCTGGTTTCAATACAATTTGAAGTTGGAATTGACCAGAACTTCATATGTTTCATACTAATAATAGGGCTTTTTTATTCGATGAATTTACATATCATGGCCAGCTCTTGGTGTATAATCTTAACTATATCATATTGTCGCTTGAGGTAGTCTTGGTTTATGGCGTGTTCTATGGGTTCTATTCCCTATCGAAACCGACGACAGTTTTCTATGTCTTCGTGTAGGATTGCTCGCCGATATTGTTTTATCACGATGATTTCATTTTGATCTGCAATGGCAAAATCCCTGTCTCAGGGAATAGTTGAGCTTTTGCAGCCAGATCGTTGAAGCTTCCTTGTTTACTCCACTACTACTAAGTTGATAAGGATATTTTCCATGGATAACTTTACTTTTCCATGACTCAATAAATCCCATGTCAATGTCCGGTTGAAACTTCATATCATCTAATTTTAACGAAGCTTTCTTTTGCGAAGTATTCTATTTCATATTACAATATAGATTTCATATAATAATGTTAAATTTTTCATAAATGTTAAAAAAAACTGGAGTTAAAAAGAAAATGGAGTCATTGATAAAAGAAAACTGCTAAAATCACAACCTATAGGTCTAAAATATGTTAATCAATTTTTAGTTCGGGATTTTCAGGAATTAATATACTAGTTTCCGTTTCTCTTATGCTATGAAAAGATATCTCTCGAAAACGTAGTAATCAATTTCTATCCAAAGAGATAAGGTTTTCACTTTCCAGGTCTGTAGTTTTTCAAGTATGTTAAAGATTCCTTCCATATATTATAGTCTGAAATCAAATTCCGCTATTACAATTTTGAATGATGATCAATTAGATTAGGGCACAAAGCAGAAAAGAGAGTATATGCCAAAGAGGTCACGAGAAGTCACAAAACGTGGCTCATGAGAGAAACTATAGGCTATTAATTTATTTTCAAAGATTCACAAAAACCTTTCGAGAATAGTTCTTAGTCATATTTTAATTTTATTATATTGTTACTCAAAATGCTCTTATGATGATGGATATAAAAGTGTAAATTCGAAAAATTGAGACGACGTAACATTCCGTCTCCACATTGCCCCATGCACGCGAGTAAAATTATTTGATTTTTGCATTTTCATTATTGAAGTCGAATCTCATACATTTATCATTTTTCTTTGTTTTAAAGTTAAATTAAATTCGTAGTCGTCATCGTTATGATAACGCTGGCGCTATTAAAAGCTATTAAAAACTATTAAAAGTCCTACCATGGACTTCTTTTTATTATTCAAAATTTTGAATGGAACATAGTTTGTTTTTGAATTCAGAACATTTTTGAAAAAGAAATTATAACCCGAAATGATCAGTTAAGTAAATCATGTCAGGTCTAGTTTTAGTATTTCCAATATATTACTATGTTTGAATTGTTAAATAAAGGAAATTAAAGAAATTTATTATGGATATAAAAAGTGAAGACTGCATCAAGTGCTTTAATACATAAATTTGAAAACATCCAAGAAGTGGAGTTAATCGAATTGGCTCGTATATATATTATATAGATTAAGTTTATATTGTGTCAATGTATTATAATAAGATTTTTTCAATTTGATCCTGCACTTTCATCAAACATTTTGTTCATCGCTCTTTTTTTTAATAATATTACCTCTTAACTTGTCAATCGTTTGCAATTTGTTAGCATAGATTTAATATAGCTTCATAAAAAATAGCTAAATTACATGATCTTGGTTACCAAATAATGTAATCACTTCGCAAAATAAGGAATTCTTTAAATTTTTCAGCCAGTAAGTCATTTGACGAGTGATGAGAGGTCAATATCACTCGTGCTATTGATGAAATTGAGTCCTATTTGTACGAGAATGTAATCAAAAATTAAAGAATCATAAAAGAATGCACGTGATCATACAGAGCCAAGGTAGTCACTTGACCGTTATTATTTTTCATATATAATGGTATCAGCTGAATGTATTTTAAAATGAAGTAAAAAATATTACAATATCACAAATATAATTTGCTTTATTATAATTTAACCCTTATCACTCCAAGTCTGTTTATCAGGCATCACATTGACTATTTTATTCCTTATTAATTTTACTTTTCGACCACTCAATTGTGTCTCTAAATTCCGTATACTCTTTATTCGCATCTTAGTTAATTTTTTTTTTATTTTATTCTAAACGCATCCATTTCACTTTAATGACAGAAAAGAAAAAAATTATTTGCTGTTAATTTGGGAAGATAAGCGAATTATAATCATAGAAAAAGTTTCAAAATCAAATATGATTATTAATTATTATCAAAATTATATTTTTTTTTGGAAATGTATAAAGATTGTTTTAAAATGATTTGAAGATTATTACTTGCATGTTATGGTCGCATTTAAAGTAAGATATTCCAAACTTAATACGCAAGCATATATAAAATTTAAGTTAGAGTTGCCGATCGTTAATTGCACTAAATAATCGGAGTGATCATAGTTAAAGTTTGTTCTAAGTTCTTAATGAAAAAAACTATTTTAAATTACTACCTTTCTAATAGCATCTGATTACTTTGCATAAAATAATGCTATCTTTAATTAATTTCCCTATTTTATAATATATATATTGTAAAATTTCGTAATATTTACAATATAATATATTGTAAAATCCCTGTATTACCATTTTTAAATATAAGTTATTAGAAGTGATTATACAGGATTTTAGATATAAAGATTTTAAATATAAATTATAGAACATTGTTTATTATTTATAAAATATAAACTGTATTTACGCAAAAAAAATCATCAAAGCATAATTTTATACCTTTTACATTTTATAAATAAATCAAGATAAATATAAAATTCTACACAATACTTATATTGCCTATTTACACAATATAAATATAATAATAATATAAAAGATATAAATTAATTGTAATTGTCCAATTCTAATCGTTAATTTTCATTTTGAGCAGTTTCACTAGAAATTTTTTGCTTTATCCACGCTTTCGCTAATGCCAAGAAGTTAAGATTTGCTCTTTGGTATTCTTCTTCTGGGAATACGAAGTCGAATACTTTTTCCCGAAGCCGAATATCTTCTATTTAATACAGATTATTTTTAATATAAATTAAGAATACTTCTTTTTAATTTAAATTCCTCCAAAACTATTTAATGTTATTGTACTATTTAATGTATGTTATAAAAATTATATACTCCATCCTCTTCAACCATTCGTCTTCTTCGTTTAATTCTTCTAGGCATTTTGACAATAATTTTAATCTAACTCTTTTTATCTCCTTCCTCATTTTCGAAATCTCTCCATGCTCCCAAAAGTAATATTCTCCTTTCTTTGTCCTTTCTTTCGTTTGCAAATGATGCACAATACCCACGTTCAAAAATTCTACGAGCTAAGGTAACATTATCACCATCATCTTCCGATGGAGAATTAACTAATTCAAATTTAGCATAATCCAAACGTGTATTATAATGTAAAAATATTTATAAATTGAGTTTAATATATATATATATATATATATATATATATTATTTTATATATATATATATATATATATATATATATATATATATATTTATATTTCAAAATCTATATATGACTTCCATAAAAGTTCAGGCATATGCAAACTAAATAATAAAAATAATAAAAATATTAAACATGTTTTTGATAAAAAATAAAAATAAAAGAAAAAGCTTTAATTACATTCAGTAGTAATTTATAAAAATATAACTTCGACACTTAATCGACAATAATCGCCTACGACACAGCTAATTCATAAATAGCTCTAGGACGGTCAAAGTCTCCTAATAAAGTTTCTAATTCTACGAACTATATAGACATTATGACAATTAAATAAATATAAGTACAATAAAGCATAAGATAAATGTAACTATAAGAAAAGTAGTTTACTTTTATTCACATTGTACAGTTTTGAAGTACAAATTCAAATAATTTTTCATACAGAATCCTGCATCTGTCAAATTTCCTAGATTGTACTTCTAAATTATTGTAACAACGGAATAATTTGTATTTGGAATACACATCCAATACCATACCTTGAAATAAATGAAATTAAATATTTAAAAATACAACAATTTAATACTTATAAATAATAAAAAAATTATTATAATAATAGCATACTAATGTTTTTTTCGCAACAGTCAAATTTTTTTGTTGTATTTCGAAATATGCATAACATAGCCATATCTTAAAAAATGTGAAATGTTTATGTAGAATAAGATCTAAACAGATTCTAAAAAATAAAAAAATATTATAAAATTTTATCTTTATATGCAACAATAAAGTATTATAAAGCTATCTCTTTATATATAACAATAATTTTATACAAGATAAACTGTACCTGTAAATTTGACGACATCTATCTATAACTTCCGTGTCAATTTCTTCATACAAAGCATAATTTATATACACATAGATATATCGTTTCCATGCTCCTATAAAAAATTTATTTAATGAAAAGGAACTTCAATTTGACTTCAAAATTGTTAAAATATAAATATTCATTACCTTAGTAGAAGGGACATTTGCTATAGCTCGTTCATACGCTCTTACAACATTATGATTTTCTTTAGATTTTACTAATCTCAGATAGTCAAACCGTGCATCATAGTTAGAAGAATTTTCCTTGACTTCTTGCTCATATTGATATTTTCTTTTGCTAATTATTACATCTTCAATGCATATTTAAAAATGTTATGAAATTTGTGTTATTTTTTTTATAAATTTATACAAATCCATATTAATACTTAAAACTTTTAAATTTATATTTCGTATTAAATAAATCTTAATCTTTATAGTATGAATTACTTACAAAATCACCATATTTCTTTTCGTGTATGATATATGCATTATATATTTCTTTTGTTCTTTCTTTTGAAATATTGTCTAAAGCATACTTAGAAATTATTTTTGCTCTATCATGCTATCAGAGAAATATTAAAATTATACTTATTATAACAGAGATACTGAATATATTGTTATCTTAAAATAATACTTAAAAATCTTGCAAATGCTATAAATAGCTTTTCATCTAAGTTCTCATCTCCGAAAAAGTTTATAAAATGTTCATAAACTTTGAGTCCTACATTTATTACAAAACTATAAATCTCCCTATACAATTATATATCTCTACCTAGCTCTTTGTTTTTCTTTATATCGTAATTCAAATTTAATATATGTTTGCCATGTCTGTTAGTCAGGTCCCCATTCTATCCATCGCTCAAAAACTTGACGTGTTTCTATAATAAATCTCTATAAAATCAAGATAGATAATAAAAAATAATCCCTAATTTTATATCAAATCTTACCAGTAATATTTTCTAACATTTCTTCTATATATGTGTATTTGTATCAAAATTGATTTATTCTAGGTAAAATTGTGACTGCACGACCTAATAAATTTCTGGCATAACTTATTTACTTATTGCGCATTTCTATTTCAATATAATATAGCCATAATGTAATGTTTTTATGATCAACATCTAACGCACGTTCATATACAGATTTCAAATAAATTGAACATATAAAACCTTGAAATATTTCTAATACAACTAAAACTATAAAATGTACTATTTTTTGTATTTAAAGTACCTTGCTCTCTGGATTGTTTCTAACTTTCTTCCCATCGGGCATATTTCATCAGATACGTTATAACCATCTGATTCTTACACATATAGTCGTCATAGATATTTCATTTTCCATATTGATAATTAGCCAATTTATGGGGATTTTATATTTTCTGCTTAGGTGGCGAAAAGGGAATACTTACAAATGAATTGTTCTCTATGTAAAATTATAGATAGGTTTAACATTATTGCATAAAGATTTTTTTCTTTGTTTCTCTTAATAACTGTTTTGCTATGATTTAAATTTTCTCGGGTGCTTTGTTATTCACCTAAAAAAAATTTTAATTGTGAATAAATATTACAATTATAAGTTGTTTATGCTATAATTTATAATTATAAAATAAAATATGATAATGTATAATAATCATTTTACCTTAGCAACTTTGGATATTTTTTGTGACTTTTCCGTGACGATGGTTAATCGTTATTCTAACCAAATAAACACAGCTTTGTCTACGCTCACGTGAAAACATTCTCGCAACTAGTTCGTTCTACGCCGTACATATCGCATATGATCTTTTAATCTTTTAGCTACTAAATGTCATTATAATGACTTTCGCATGTTATCTTTTTAAAAGATACGCCACTATAGTGGCATTCGCGCAAGTCATTTTTTCGAAGGATAAGAAGTCACTATAATTACATTCATGGATATCATATTAACTTATTGTGTACTTTTTGAATTCTTTACATAAAAATGTATAAGTAAATTATTCATGTACAGCCCTATTCCGATCTAATGTTCGATCTAATAATAAGAAATGTCTACTATAGTTTAAGCGCCGAAACTTTGCACATAAAATAACAATAGTAGTATTTTTATTTAGCTTTGTTCAATATACAATAGGTATAATCAGACTGTGACTTTCAGTAGCTACGGCTGTGACTTCAAGAAGAGTCCGAGAAAGAATAAATGTCTTCTTTTGTGTTCCCGGGATTTTTTTCGTTTACTTTGTTTTCGGCGTCTTTGCTGTTTGGTTAGTTTCCTACGTGTTCTCACTTTGTTTGGTTAGTTTCCTACGTGTGTGTGTAGTGGCGCTAAGGCGTGTTAGTGTATTGCCGAAAAACGGGTTACATTCGCAACAAAATCGCCATAATTGCGATTATTGCGCCAAAGCATTGGGTCATTGTTACAACGTCATTGTTATTTTTATAAAATAAAATAAATTACAAATTAACCTTTGGTATTACCAATACTTAAACTATTAGTTGAATTTAACGTTAACTACCTTTTGCACTAAGTGTGTGTGATCTTAGCGATAGGTATGGGCAAAATATGAACTAGGAAACAAGCAACGGTATCTGTCGCCATCGTGCATCTATCGTATCGGGTTAGTTATTACACTCTCACGCATATATAATAATTGGTTTCATTGGATTATAGTAAGTTGCGTTAATAAGTAAAATGTGAAGTTCCAATTTTCATGCTCTTATGTATATACCTTTCTTTGATGGGACCGTTTATCTCGCAGTGGTTAGATACGATGTAGTCTTATCTTTTTCAAATTATTTCATGATAAAAAGATAGAAAATAATAAATATAATTAACATTTAAGAATTATTATACAAAACTGCAATAAAAGATAAGAATTTGTCGAATATTTTCTTAAAAATAATTAATGAATACTTATATATTATATTATTTTTATACAAATTAAAACATGATTTCATTTCCACACTATCTATCAGGTAGAACTCCCAACACTATTTTTTATGTGGTTTTTCCTGTAGTATTAGTCTACTTTATCCTACTTCAATTATCATTACTACTACTGATAATAATCTATATTTTATTATATTATATTATATTATATCATATCAAATATAATATAATATATAATAAAATATAATATAATAATACTAATACTAATAATACTAATAATACTAATAATAATAATAATAATAATAATAAAAATAAACTTAAATATTATTTATGTACATCTAGATATTATTTAGTACATTTTATATTATAACAATAAAGACAATCAGCTTCGACTGATTGTGGTGAAGAAATAATATTGAAACAAATACATAACGACCATAAGATAGTAAGACAATGATAGCAGGTGAAAACCTACTTTTCATGATATGTTGTTTTCTTCTCCACTTTATTGTCGTTGCTGCGGTGGCAATTATAAATAACTTTGTATTTTTATACATATAAGGAGATATTTCGACATCTGCTTATTCTAATCAATCTGGTGTAATACTCCTGGAGTAGCTGGTAGCTCATTGTAAAAACAACTTAGAGTTGCTAAAAGATCTTATTAAAAATTGCTTAGAGTGCAAAGGGTTAGTCGTATCTATCGTTAGGTAGTCATGCGTTGAAATTATCAAGGACACGATTTGTTGAGAGTTCGCACATAAAATCAACACATATAATGACGCTTTTTACTCCTTTTGTTACCATAAATTACCGTCAGCATATGTGTCATAATGTATATAATATAAGTATATTTTTCTATTTTTTCTTATTACTATTCTTATTATTATATTATTATATTACATATTATTATTATAGTAATAGTAGTAGTAATAGTAATAATATGAAATCCTACAGAGGAAACCATAACAAAATATTAGGTCGGTGCATATGAAATGTCGGATTTTCTTTAAATGTGAACGTTTGTCTCCCTGTTTTTGTTATGCTTTTGTTTTTGACACAACTTGGTTTATAGTCGTACTGTCCATTGCCAGAGTCACATTATAGCAAAGAAGATTTTCTCAAAAGTGTTTCCTTTTCTTATTTGCTTTGAATTTTGCACCGATATGAATTCAACCGATATTCGTGTAATTTTCTTATATGAATATAAACTTGATAATAATGCTGCAAAAGCTGCACGCAATATAAACCAGGTGTTTGAGGAGAATACTGTGAACGATCGAAAAGAGCAGCGTTGGTTTGAAAAATTTCGGTTTAGTGATTTTTCCTTGCAAAATGAATCGCGTGAAAGACCCGAAACGTCTGTGAAAAATGATGCTCTGAAAGCATTGATGGAAACGAATCCAACTGTTTCTTCAAGGAAACTTGCTGCCAGAATGGAAGTTGACCATACAACAGTATTGCGACATCTTTCTGAAATTGGCATGGTGAAAAAAATGGATAAGTGGATACCGCACGAACTAACCGAGCGGAATAAGTTGGATCGCTTGAACGTATGCACATTATTGCTAACCCGATTTAATCGAGATCCATTTTTCGATCGGATCATTACTTGTGATGAAAAATGGGTTCTTTATGACAATAGGAAAATGTGTGCTCGGTGGCTTGATAGGGGCTCGTGCTTGTGCTCATACTCTACGGCCATCACTTCATTCACGGAAAATTTTAATCACAGTTTGGTGGAATGTGACTGGAGTAATACACTACTCATTCCTTCGAACTGGAATGACAATTACAGCCGAAAAGTATTGCCAGTACATTGAAGAAATGCATGAAAAATTGAAAATTATACGCCCATCACTTGTTAATCGGCATGGCCCAATACTTCTCCACGACAACGCTCGGGCACATACATCGTACAAAACAATTGCGAAATTAAATGAATTAAAATATGAAATTTTGCAGCACCCACCTTATTCACCGGATCTTTCGCCAACCGACTTTCATTTATTTAAACATTTAGAACTGTTTTTACGGGCTAAACAGTACAAAAATGAAGACAGTCTGAAAAATGCCATATCAGAGTTCATTGATTCTAAAGATCAGAATTTCTTCAAGACAGGCATCTATGCATTAAAATCTAGTTGAGAAAAGTGTATTGAAGTAAATGAAGCATATTTTGATTAAATGAACAGCTTTTGGAAAAAGATATGCAGTTTAATATATTCACTTAAGAATCCGACTTTTCATTCGCGCCAATCTAATAGCACTGGGAGAAAAATCTCGTAATGTGGAAACGAACTCGTGTTTTGATCTTTTTTAAAAATAATATATAATATCTATGTTCACTATAATATATATACTTCATACGCATGTCATCGAACAAATTATACTGCTGTGTCCTATTCAGCAGAGATCATCATCAGAAATTCAACCATCATTGGAGGAAATAAATATAAGAGATTGAATAGCAATATCGTACTAAATTTTAAAATGAGGAGAAAAAGAGTAAATTAATTCATTATTTTTGGTTAGATTGATACAATAAAAAAATAACCGGAATCATTTATAGCCTCGAATCTAACATTTTTTTAATTATCAATCTAGATGCTTACCAATGTGCTATACATTGCTCATAGAATCTCTATCTTTTTAATCTATAAAATCTATAAGGAATTATAAATTTTTCTAAAATTTAACAATATTTGAGAAACTCCAATAATACTCGAAAGCTTATTAAAATGACCGATTGAATTACCTTAGCTTCTCTGTGAAACGCATTTCTTTGCGTTTGAAAATATTTAGAAAATTTGACCATCAGCTATTTACGCACACAGACGAATTATTTCACGGATATAAACATATTATTGGGTTGGCAACTAAGTGATTGCCGGATTTCAAATAAGAAGGAAACGACAAAATCCGCAATCACTTAGTTGCCAACCCAATACATTCAATTGTGTATATAATGATCAGAAGAGGGAATACAAGCTTCTCTTCCGGCGCAAATTTCTAGTATTAAACTTCTTCATCGCGAAAAATGTCGAAAACATCATTTACTTCATCAACGAGAACAGGAGTAATTTGTGACCAATTTTAATGAAGGAGGTCTTATTTTAAAGATAAATAATTGTCGAATTTTTGGAAAAATTTTTTATTTGTTTATAAACTATTCTTGAAAAAATACTATTTTTAATACGATTTTTTTTTATAAAATAAAGCTTTCTCAAAAATTCAGAAAAATTATGTGCTAAATTAATTCTTCGTCTTTAAAATGCGACCTCGTTCATCAAAATCGGTCAAGAATTACGCCTGTTCTCATTGATTACGTAAATCATTATAAAACCATGTTTAATTAACATTCTTAAACTAAAAAAATGTATATCTATTTTATCAAAAATGCTTTTTTATCAAAAGAGAAATACTTTTATGCAAAATATCTATTAACAATCGTAAAAATTTGTCAGTTAGATACAAGTACAAGTTAATTAATAGTAAACGTAGACCATGTTAATGTATTTGGCAAAAGAAAAGAGGCATTATTACTTATAGCATATGTAAAATTACACTAGAATAGATTAACTTACAATTAAAATGTTCACTGTCAATGTAGTCCTTGTCTAGTCAAAAGCAATGTGTATATTTATTTGTTAAATAATACTTTTGAAACAAAATAAACTGTTGAAAATTGTATATTATATGTTTTATATTATTGGTTACATTTATTATAAATGATGGTCATATCTTAATAAACAATAAACACAGATTTATAAGTGTTTGAAATGAAATTGCAAAATTTGAATACAAATACCAATAATTCTGAAGACAATAAATGTATTACATACATTTCACTATAAAAAATAAAATATTACTACTCTTTGTTTTTATATCACTATCATCATATATTATCATAAACAAAGTTGTTAAGTTAAGCTGTTTGGAAAATCTCAATTGCATAAAAATCATAAACAATTGCTTTTTATTGATCATCTATAAAGTAGAGTTTTGTCTGAGCTGGAAAGATTAGGTTTTGAATCTCAAAGTTTACATACCATATGTTCCGTTTCATATGTGTGTTTTAAGATTGTAAATCATTATTATTATTACTATAATTTTTATTTATTATAAATAAAAACATGATAAATTGTAAATACAATATATAAGTTATAAATTTATATTCGTTATCATGAGAAAACGTGAGCTTTTCCAACAGACAGATGTGTCTTTGAACCAGATATCCTTTGATTCTAATATAAGTATATAAATGTTTTAAAAAATATTCCATTGCATAGAATAATCTAATTAGTACATTTATATAAATAATTAATATTGTTTTGAAATATCATCATGAATTTCACTTGAAAATAAATTAGATTTTTTTATTTTGCGTCTTATGCTATTGCTGTCTGTAAAGTTTCAAATTTTCTATAAGGAAATGTTAAAAGATATGAAATTGCAAGCCCAATACTTTGATCCTTATATCGAAACCAGAAAAGTCGTTTCATTGGTAAGAAAAGAAAAACAATTTTTTCTATAGCCGCATATTTTCTTATTAACTTATATCTTTCTCTTTTTTAAATACAACCTTTTTTCCATTTTTAATTTAATGCCACGTTCAGAATCATTAATTTTTCCGTATTAATGATGAATATTTTATAAAATTATACATCAATTTCATATATTAGTGTGCTGCGAATTCTTATACAATCGTATTTTTATACTTTGAAAATTATTTTCTTGAAGATGTTTTGATAATATATAATCATAGGATAACTCTTTAACAATTTGTTACATAAAATGACAAATTAACTTTGTGTTCTTTAACAGAAAAATATATATAAATAAATAATGTTGTAAAGATGCAGAATTTTTGAAGATGTATGTATATAGAGTAATTGATGAGTAAAAACTTCATAATTTGATAATAAAAATATCTCATCTATGAAATCACATAAGAAAATTATAAAATAAGAATAATTGAAATAACACCAAATATAATTATAATATATTAAAATGTTTTTGATGTGTCAATTGTTAAGACAATATGGACCAATGACAAGATATTTCACATTTTCTACGTACTAAGCAAGAGTGGTATTATGAGTTAGAAGATTAATAATAAGAGTTAATAATTAAAAATTCTGCCAGATTAATCGTAATAATTTTAATTTATATAGAATATTTCAAATGCGTGATACTGAAAATAAAATAAGATATAAAGTTTTTCCTTATGAAGTTTCAAATATTGCTCTATCTACAGATTACTTACATTACAAGCAAAAGAAGTGAAATGCGCTATGTTTGCAGGCTATGTGGAGTTTCGTTTTATTTAATTAATATCATACTTTAAAAAGATTTTAGTACGCACAATTTATATCAAAAAAGCATATAATTTCAAAATATTTGTTGAAAACAAATATTAATATGACGATGTTAGAGATTTAAAAATATTTTATGCGAAAAAAAAACGGTTAGTAATAAGATGTCTGGTCCGTAATATGTTAAAATAGTTTAATATTATGATATATTGTGTTTTCAATTTCTGATAAACAGATAAAGTGTAATTGAATATTTTAAACATTTTATTGTTAAAAATATTTTTATAATACCATTTAGAATAGAATAAAATAGTTAGCAAGTGAATAATATTAATTCTTTATTCATTTATATAATTAATGTTTTATAGTATTAGATAGCATTACGTAAAGTTTATATGAGAATATGTATCTTATTTTCTCCTTTGATTGCCAGTAAATGGTGCTTTTTCGATTTCTTTCTCCTTTAGGTTCATATTTCACTTTCACCGCAGATTGTAAATAACAATTTTAATTTCCTCACAACGTTAAAAAAAATGGCCTATTCGATCTTGAGTTGCCATTGTATTATTTCTTGTTGACTAGGCGAAATTTTTTTACACTCGTGTACACGCGCGTATGTAAGTGTGTGTGTGTGTGTATATGTACGCACACACGCATGTCTATATATGACGTATGATTAATGAAGCCATATATGTAAATTCGTCTGCTAAGTCAAATTCTTGTTAATTAAATTTTGCATTCTTTTCAAAATTATTTATTATAACAATCACTTTTTATTCTTAGCTTCTTTTATTTTATTTCTTTCTTAGCATGCTTATAACGAGTGTTTTATGAGTCAACAGGCATTTTTCTTTGTAAGATTTTTTCTAAGTATCTAATGAGATTTAGAGAGCAATAAAGGATGGATTCTTCGAAATGGAGACTAATAGCGTAACAATATGAATATTTTATGTAATACATTATAGATTGATGTAAAAATATACAGGAATGAATTATTGTATGTGTATATATATATATATCTTTCTATTATATATATCTATGTATATATGTATCATATACTGTGACGTACACGTGTATCCCTCAGTTATTCACAGTACTTTCTCCTAAGGGTCATATATATATTACTATTCGAAATATTTGCTTTTGGGAACTCCTTGGATATTCGCTAAGAATGAACATAGATAAAAAATATATTATCACCTTTGTCCGAGTTTTGACATTTTTAGTCAAGTACCTAGTCTTCAATAATATGTCGAAATGGGCAATAAATAAACTGTGAAAGTAGACTCTTAGGTGTGACGAGCCAAGGGTTTGTTTGGCGCTTATCCTTCAAATATCACTGCAACTCTCATGAGTCCACACAGTCACCAGGACAAAGGATCACACATGAGATTGTTTAAACATTTCGAATAAACTATCTTGACACGCACACGATCAATAAGAATGTTGCTTTCCCTTTCCTAACATTTTTTACTTAAACTCCTTTCTTTCCATTTTCCTTTCCTAATTCATTAATGCGTTCGTGGATAGTTCGGGAAAAATCTACAGGCAATCGCATCAAAGCATTTTCACTTAGTAGTAAAATAATTGAGTCTTATCAATATCACTGGCTATGCCACAATCGGGTCTATTCAGCACAATCTAAATAGCAACAACATAAGTACACATTATTATACAAGAGCAACAATTATATCTTATTTCAACAAATATACTGTGATAACTACAATTCACACTATATTTGTTATCTACCTCACAAGCTCCACGGGATTCTACAAAAGAATGCGCGTTCTCTCATTAATATGCATTAATAAACTCCGATGGTATCCTAGCCTTGTGCTGATTCTTATTCATAGCGACCAGTTAATCTATAACTCTAACGATTAGGAAGGACAGGGAAAGATTCTCCGTACAAATCAATTATTATCGCTGATATTTCTGTTAGAGACGCGTATTTAGAAAAATTTTCGTAGTTGCTCCTCACACGACGTAATATACACATATAGGATGATACATTTCTATGTATGTATATATATATATATAAATACATAGAATAATACACACACATTTATATAAATATATAATAAAGAGCATACAAGTCCACTGAATAGAACACGCGCGCGTGCGTGTACGTGCGGGCATGTATGCGATACGTGATGTTGATGCGCATGTGCAGCCAATCAGTTGGGCTCTTTGTTCTTCTCATCATCTGTTTATGCTTATTTCAGTTCTGAAGGTCTACGAGAAGTGTCGTCAGTATTGTCGTCACTTACTATCAGTTGTAAGGACGAAGAAGATGGTAGAAGAAAGAAGAAATAATTTCATGATGTAACTGAACAAAGAGCAGGTGTTTTATTTTTTGTTTTTTTTTTCATATATAGTAAAAGCAGGTAAGTATATATGTATAAAAATACTGGTCCAAGAATGTAGATTAGTTATTTTTTTGGGTAGGATATTAATTTATTAAAACTTTCTTTTTCCATATTTTTTGCCATTAATTCTCTGCAACGTTATATAACTTTAAAATTATATTTAACGCTCATCTGTATTTTGAAAATTTCATTTTATTTCATCAGTAAAAAAGAAATTTTTACTTTATATATGTTTCATATGTTTATTCAATATATATTATATTGTTTCATATGTTTAATAAATATATATTATACTTAGTATATATATATAATAATATAATTAGTTGTAGAAGTAATATTATAACTTTCACTTACATAGTTCTGTTTGTATATACGGAAAAGAAATTAACTTGTAGAGGATGAAATTAAAGAAAAAGGGTCACAGTAAAAAAATTAAATGTCGAACAAATGCATTGTGTATAATAAAGGTTTTGTGTAAGTCTTTATTCTTTTTGATTATTCTTTTAGAGACATCGTTATTTATTGAAAATTATTAGTTCTTCACGAAAAGCATCACTTTCTTTTAGATACCGATTAAACATTTCTGATGATACCAAATTCTAATATTTTATTTCAATTATATAACATTTTAACTATATTATACAATTTAACTATACTATACTATTATAACTATATTATTAAACCCTTATAGTTAAAAATGAATAGATAGAGATATTGTTTCTTCAGAATATTTACAAGAGATATTCAAATTTATTACATAGATAATGTTACTTATTATTCGATTTATTATTTGCTTGTATATTAGTATAAAATGTTTAAAAGGCTCCATAGATAGGTCTTCGTCATTCTTATTGCCGAGATCGCTGAGACCAGTTTGGATCCGTATGTGATAACGAAGTTTTATCATCTCGTAATTACAGGTAATTAAAATTTTTTTTTCTAAGTTACTTATTCGTCTAATATACATAATCGATCACCAAACATGAGATTTCTACGACATAATGTTTGCAAGTCAAGAAAATATTGCGTTTTTGAAATGTTGGCGAAAATAAAATTACCGTTTACATGTTTTCATCGCCGTGCTATTGCGTCATATTTTTCTTGAATTTCTGGCCTTTATTTTTGTGGTATGTTTGCTTTTCTTGTTTTAAGATAATTTAGTCCGTGTCCTTTTCAAAAAGTCGAATAAGAATAAACAAAATATTCGCTTGCTAGGCACGTGATGGATAATAGCTATTGGCTATTAAACTACTATTGATAGTCAACTGTAAAATTTAGGATTGAAAATGGATTTTTATTAGCTAGTTTCGATTTCTCGGGTTTACTAGACGGATGACGGATTACTGGCAAATTGTTGAAGAAGAGTCTGGAAGTTGTAAATACGGTTCTGTTCTGCATATTTATTTCTACTGATGGCTCATTGAACGGAATATAACAATTTATCAATTATTAATCTTGATTGATCGTATTATATGTTATATTCGATTTTTATCTAAATCGTATATATTCGTGTACATACATATACCTATTTAATATATCGTACATATAATATATATACATGTGTGTATATTCCTGATAGATACTATACATGAATACTAATACTATATATGTGCATACATATATCACACGTACACGTTGTGTATATGACTCGTTATGGATAAATATGTGTATGTTCATACATTTATTACATATACGCACATGTACATATGTAGAATTCTCAAAATTAAGACATTTCTTTGTCACATCAGCGAACGAGTGACCGTTTCGTTCGGAATTGTTATTATCAAGCTCATAATATAATATATAAGACAGCGAATGCTATCTTATTTATAATATAAATTAAAGATAAATATATGTAAATAGGTTGGAAGAAAATGGTAGGATTTGAAAGACAAGAAAGGACATTTTGTAAGAACTTATGTTGTTGTCAAAAGAATATATTACCGTTTATAAGTTATAATATATACTACGTATATTGAGTACTATATATTATATATAACATACATACACATTTTGTATATATACAATAATACATAAAATTCTATGAATCGACAAAGTTGGAAACACAGTGAAGGTCGTGTATTATATTTTGCTGTTTTTCTTATGTAGCCGAGGTAAGCTAAGTGTGCTGTTAATAAAAAAGGTCAAGTATGTTTTGATGTATGAGGGTACGTTAAATATGAATAAATCTTGTATTACGTCCTAGGAAATGATATCAGTAATTGTTCTCGGAAATTTGTTTTCGTGTACGAACTTACGAGAGATTTGTAGCAGGGATGGGTATAGGTGATCTCTCCTTCTCAGAATGATACGATACCTACTTGCAATAACATTCTCGGCTATTCTTCTGTTGTATAAGTATTTGCGTGTCAATTATTCCAGTGAAAATTTAACTATATTTTATTTTAGAATAATTAATAATTATCATAATTATTAATAATTATACTATGTATTTTTATTATAAAATAATTAGTATCGTGAACATTATTAATATTTTTTAGATAATATTGTGATAGGTGATATTATTTTTTAATTATTTTTGTTACCGTTACAATGTTTTTGTTATTTCATTGTTACTTTTTGCTAGTAAGAATTTGAGTAGTCTTTTATTTTTTGACTTTATATTTTTAACAATTTTTTTTTATTGTACAATGATATTGATATTGTTTTTATTTTCAGATTATGATTGCAGTTGTTCGTGTAGCTATAGATGAATCGATCTTTGTTTCGATAAAATAAAGAAGGAATTGTGAAGGAGATTTGTTGTTAATGTTTTTCGGTTAATTTAAATTTGTTTGCGTTTTATGATGTTAAAAAACTTTTAAAAATATGTCTGTATGAATAATTTGGATCCAAAGCAGTTATAGAGTCAATATTTGTTCGTATAAAATTTTATTTTTCTTTTTTTCTACAATCAGATATACTGTAGATACTTATATATAAAACAAGCAATAGATATTCGCGAATTAAATTCATTGTTTGCCTCTTAATTATTAAATAACTATTGCGCATTTGAGTCAGTGCATCAGGGAAGATGATCAAGGACCTATTACACTTCTGTAGAAGAATATTGGTAAATAAATGTTTAAATTTAATAGCTAATATAATTCTACATTTTTTTTTTATTACGATAAATTTAATAAAAATTATGTTTAATCCTTTTTCAGATTTGCATTGTCATTAAATCAATGTATTACAAATTCAATCTAATTAATTTTCCATCTACGTCGATTTATTTTATTTTGGACTTATTACGGAACAGCTTACATAAATTTCGAGCTACAACGGGGCGAATGTTTTGGAGCTATTGTGGGTCTTAAGCAGTGAGTGAACAAATTTAAGTTCCTCTAGTATATATTATGTCGAGGATGAAAGATTCGACTTGACATGAGTTACTAGTTGTAATTTTTTCTATTAATTGTTGACAAATAGCCATTAATAATTAACTTTTTGGATTTACTCTTGAGTGGTACAGTTTTAATTGTTTTTTTATTGGGCATATTCTAGTTTCATTAGTTTAGGATAGTATTTTCTTGTTTTATTAATGAATCATTTAATTAATACGAGTCATGCAACAACTCTTTGCAGTGTGATTTAAGTGCGATTGTCACAATTGGTGACGAAGGCGCTCACACGTTGGCTTCTGCATCATTTTGACTATTCGTGCTTGAAGGTGTGCTAATTATGTGGATGTTAACGAAATTAATTATTATAAAAACCATAAAATCTGATTAATTTGAATAAATATGTTTTTGCACATGCATTTTAACGTTATAATATAATCAAACATATCATAACACAAAAAGTAAGCCTTTCGAGATCTTTTTTAGATGCAATAATCGAGAACAATTTGTCCAGTAAAATGAAATAATTTTTGACCTAGAAGTACTAGTAATATTTTATTTCAATTTATGAAGATATGCTTATTTTTAATTTCTATCATTTAGAAAAAATTAATAATCGTGTGATATCTTTGCATTATGGTGCATTTAACACAATTTGGCATCTTTTGTATTTCCATGTTTGTTTCAATGCATTTCTTATATTTTTCACTAATTTTATAAGCTCTTATTTATTTTTTGATATTGTTAAATTGTTTTTTATTTTCTTGTTTTTTTTTTATTGTTTTTTTTTTTATATTCTTTGAAAAATAAGCCCAATGTTACATCTATAGTTTTCGTGATGTTTATTGCTATTCGATAAGTTATTCTGAATCGTTTTTCGTAATCCATTAATTGTGCAGTTTTTAATAATAATTCTATAATATTTATTTTATATTCAGTATGATTTTGTTTTTTTCTTTATTTATTGTTTCGTATACTATATATCTATTAAAAAGTGCCTTGTTGAATGTATATAAAATGACTTTTCTATATATTTTCATATATTATCTCATAATACGAAAAGAAATTAGCGATTAATTTCAATCATGCTTTTATTATATTCAGTGACATATTTTGGTTTCAAAATACGATTGAATTGAGTTTATTCTTGCCTAAAATCAGTTATTTCTGCAGTTTTGTACTTTGTAGAAATGGCATAAACGTTTCATTTATTTTCGCATTTCAGTTATATTTTCCTGTTTTTAATTTTTTACCGACAAAATCTCGGTATATTGGTTTTATTAAAACGCATAGTTCCATGTGTTTTATTTTTAATTATTGTTAAAAACAGTTTCGGCGACGCATATTATTTTTCAACATATAAAATAATTTGTTGAAAATTGATTGTGACAATTCCATAATTTTTTGGTGCGCTATTATTAGAATCTATTTTGTCATTACCTATATATATCTTAAAATGATAGCAATAATTTGACGCTGATTCATATCATTTATAAATTATTATGCCAAATCTTTGTAGATTAGATTATATTGTTTATATGGAATAAGTCTCTTAAAATGCATTAATGATTTATTAATGGTGACATCCATGTGTATACATTTTTGAATTTATGAATAAACAAATTTATTATAACTTTTATTTTATGTAATCACTCTGTATTGTCAACTGTATCATTATTTGTTAAATGCAAAAATCTAATAATTTGTAAAAATCTTATGAATGGTATAATCTTTCCGAATATTGGCTATTTTGTAATGATTCTTTCAGAGCAGTCATTAGAATTTTTATTTTTACTTTTTCTTTGATCTTAATTATTATTATACATAATATAATTTTATTTCATCATAATTTACAGAAACTTCAGTCGCGTTACAATTTTGCTTATTTTGCTTAAAATCAAAAATTAAAAATTAATTTTTATCAAATCTTCTATCTATCAATGTATTACTAAAGCATTTCAAACATAAATGTAGCTAATCAGCACAATCTGGGAAGTATATGGTAACCTTTTTGTCTGAATTTTAACACTCTTTCTTCTAAAGCTTGCAAAATTTTTTTGCTAACATTGTAAAATTTTCACACCGGGTATACTAGTCCTACCTTCTTTTACATTTCATGGTTTATTCTTCTTCGGATAGATATATTTGATGGCCCTAATATTTCTACATCATGGCACTATGTGAGATGCATTGACAGTTTTATTCTAAAGTCGGAGATCTTTATTTTTCTTTTTTCGTTGTCAGTTTATATATTTGTAGCTGATGTATTTAATAACAATTCGATAGCTAATTTTATATACCGCATGAGAGTTTTTCTGTGTGGTGTACAATATCCTATCATCTGATCGGACAAATCACATCACATTTTCCTACATTGTAATCTAAAACTACTGTTAGTTTTTCACGTGTGTAATTATTTTTGCATACAGTTACTGTTTCCGCCAAATATTTTGTGGAAGTTATTAAAATATCTCGTCTGTTGTTTAAGAACCATAATCCTTTTCCTATTTTGCATTGCAATCAACTTGTCTCGTTTTAATTTTTTTAGTTTAACTTCTACGGATATTCTTTTACGGTTTTTCCTTATAGTTTCTACCAAATAAGTGTTACAAGCAATTAATTTTCTAGCTAAATTGATATTGGTATACCAATTATCTGCGTAAATTGTGTGGCCTTTATGCGGTATATTGTTACACATGCTCATTACAAGACTTGTTAGTATTAAATATGGTGCTTTTGATTTTTTTTCAGAATATATTTGAAATTGGTATGTATATCTTGGATCATAAAATAATTTAAATAGTTTAATATTATTTTTATGGTACTTCTGTTTTAAAAATTATTTAAGAATTATGCATTCTCAAAATGGTATTAATGAGTCATTAATACATACATCAACTATTTCATCGAGATCGTAATATTTACAAAAATTTTGATTCAGTACATCCCCAAGTCTGCTTATCTTATATAGCCTTCTGGTTATGTTTAATTTTGTTTGCTATCTGCTTATTATTAATTTTATGCCAGAAATCTCAATGTAATTCCAGATCTTTGATTTTTTACTTTTTACTTGACTCAAATCCATTGATCTGATGATTGATGACTAGTACCTTCTTTATTATTGGTAGATTCTGGATGTTTAAGCACGATAAATATGTAAGTATCATATTGTTACGTCGCACGACGAAAACCTGTAAAAAAAATAATAACGTATTGGAAATATCTGTAAAAATAAAATTAAAATTAAAACATTATTTAGTTTTGCGGGAAACACGGGGATCCACCTTTATAATCTTATTTATTTCGACATTGAAAACATATGTTAAGGACGAAAGGCATACATTCTACTAAGTACAATAATTCATAGGCTAGACTTATTATATGTACACGAAATATTGTAAAAAATGTAAACATAAGAGACAGTTTTACCTGAGTATTGAATGCACGGAGCATATAGATCTTACAGGAAGGACATAAATTCTAAAAACGCACGTGTCTTTAATACGTAAGTACATGGGACGGTCCCAAACAATAACGCAAGTAGGAATCCAAATAATACCCGAGAAGTTTTTAGACTCTCCTTAAAAATGCTGAAGTGTTTAAGTTAATGTAATCACATGGTCTAGAATATTCAAGGAAAACATCCATCCTTAGAAATCTTCATCGTCCTTTCCACTCGACCGTCCATACTCGTGGCCCATCGAGGCCTTACTCGTCGAGCCTCGGCGTATGCAGTGCTCCCCACTTACTTCACTGAATCCACCCCACCACCTCAGATTTGGGACAGCGGTAGACCAGTGAGAACGCAGCAAGTGCCGCCGAACGCTGACTGACCTAGACATATATGTGACTGCACAACGCTCCTCCATGGTTATTGTTTCGGATCTTCCGACGAGTAGACATCTTTTGAGAGAATCGAGACGAATCACGCGCATCTCTTGAATTTAGAGTTTTCATCTGCACGCGTAAGTGTACAATTAGTTATATTCTCAAATAAAAGTTCTGTTTTTTTAAACGTCTCAAGTTAGTAACCCCAGGTGTGTTCGTAGCGTCTCCTTTCCTCGCACATATCTCTAACTCAGAAGCTAGTATTCGCGACGCAGTCGACAGATTCAACGTGACAGTGCAATTTGTTCATCCTTCACTGCACAGGCAGAAATTCTATTAATCCGCTTACCCATCCTTATTGCTCTTGGTGAGTAACTACCGCACGGGCAAGTTTGTCGTTTCGGTAAGGCGATCCCACACGGACGACAATTTATTCTCTTTCTCTCCTTTCCTTCTATCAATTAACCGTTCTTTCCGAGCATCTTCCTACCTTTATGCCTTGTGTATGTCGTGGTGGCAGGAAGTACCAATTGCGTCGCTTATTAAAGGAATTCTATCACGAAACGAAAAATTACAACGACGTACTGGGTGTCGAGTCCATGGAAAAGAACGAAGAGAACCTTCCACCGTAACATCTGACCTCCCTGGAGCCATCCAGAAGGTGGATTCCCCCGCTGTACCTTCCAGTCTTGGTTCCTAGGACTCCGAGGTATTTGGTGATAAAGCTTCAGCATAGTCTGGAATCACTCTCTCAAGAGGTAAGAGAGCGTTTGCAACGTTGCTTCGACATTCTATTTGGTGCCGATCCCGAGCCAGAAGAACTGCCCAAGCAGGTAACGGCCGGAAAGGCACGAGATCTTGCAGAAGTCGGAGCTCTTTAGAAAATTAGTTTTGTTAAGGGTCGTGCCTAGTGAGACGTAACATGTCAGAAATAAAAATTGGTGACAGTGGTAGGATTACGAAAAGAAACAGAATGTCGAACGAAAAGCAATCGCAATCGAAATCCACCGGCAAAATGGAAACGCGAAGCGGTGTCAGGCACGTTAACGAGAACGAGTACGAGGAAATAAACCGTAGGCTCCGACAAAAAGAAATACATATTCTAGAGTGCGAGAAAGCTCTACGCGAACGTGAAGAACTAACTAAGAAACGAGACAATTAAACCGGATTTCACCTCGTTCGAATCTTCATTGCGGGAAATATTAACCGCACGACAGGTAGACGATACGCGGAGCGGCTCACGCGAACCACGTGATTTATCAATACGCGCAGCCGTGGACGCTGTTC